TGCATCTTGATCTGATTGTATCCCGAAAATCCATCCATAAATAACATTCTCTCGAATCCGCATGTGTTGTCAATAATGACATCTGTAATTGGTAGAGGGAAGTCGTCTTTGGGACATGCGGCATTCAGATCTCTGAAGTCAATACAGATTCTGATTTTTTCATTCTTTTTAAGGACTGGAACAATATTGGTTAACTAATCAGGATATTGTTCTTCTCTGACGAAACCTGAATCAATCAGTTTCTTAACTTCAGCTTCTATTTCCTCCATAATTTGCGGATGAAACCGTCTTTGTTGTTGTTTAACGGGTTTAACATCCGGTTTAATGTTAAGGCTGTGCTTTGCTACATCTGGGTCAAGTCCCGGCATATCTTTGTAATTTCAAGCGAAAACGTCGATATACTCTCTAATAAGGGCGATTAGTTCTTCCTTCTCATCTGGTGGAAGATCGTCACTAATAAATATGGGTTTTGGGTTAATTTCGTCACCCATATTAATCTGGACTACTCTATCCTCAGTAGGAGGTTCTCTTTGTTCAAACAGATCGCCGTATTGAACATTCATGTAGTGTACCCAGGGGTCTTCCCAAGTGGGTAATTGATCATCTTCTTCTGTAGTGGAAGGATCAACTACGGTCATGTTCGATATTAATCTTTTGAATGTTTCCCCGATACTAGTGTCAGAATCCCAAGTTAAAGTATCAAATGAATACTCACTTTTATTTGTTAGCTGGTTGATGATTTGTCAGCAATATTCATCATCAGATGATGAAACATAACCCAGGCCACTTCTATGGCTATAGTAATTGTCCGGCTTTCCTTTTGGTACATAGGCAGGACGGGGTGGAACCCTGACACCTTGACCAAAACGAAGACCTTCACCAAGTGTAAGGTCATATCCTTGTTTCCTTATATAGTCACTTGCTTGTGAACTGTACCGAGAGAATTGTCGTCCGAGTTCTTCATCATCCGAATTAGTGTTCAAGAAAAGATCTGGAATAGGGGATGGTTCCCCTTTTCCAAAGACTATTTCTTTTTCACCCCCTGTCTTTGCGGGTAGGATCATAGCTGTTCCGAATGAATTTTGGATATGTTTCGTCGTCGTACAAGACGAACGAAGTGGCATGTGTAGATTAGGGTCGTCATACAATTCCTGTATTACATTATCGAGACAACACGAGTACTCTAAATCATTATTTATTATTTTATCAGCAAGTTGCAAGTTATAACTTTCATCCGACAATGATTCATCACCGTCGATATCGATTACAAGAGGTTCAATGTCATTTAGTACAAGACCTTCACTATAATCGAGCTCAGCTTCGGTATCAGCTTCTTCTCCGCTGTCCGTACCATGGGCCGATGGTTCAGTATCGGATTTAGCACCATAAAGAAGGAAGTCAGTAAAATAATTTTCTAACCCCTTAAACGGTTGCTTATCCGCGACCACCGTCTTAACCTCATTGTTAGTGTCAATATATTTCAGACACTGATGGAGGATGGAGGGAACTATGAAATTACTGTGGATCTATGGACGACCCAACAGCAAATTATAAGAAGTCTCCGCATCGATCACATAACAAGTGACCTCCGACTTTAAGTCTCCAAGTTGACACTTCACCCGGATTTTTCCCAACGGTCTCGACCCACTAGTATTGAATCCGTAAATAACAGTTCCTGTAGAGGCTAGCTTATTAGCGGGAATTCCGAGGTGGTACATCAACCGAAGTGGCATGATACTAACAGCGGAACCCGGATCAACTTGAATCCAGTTGACAACGCTCGAGCCAATATATCCAGTAAAGTATAAAGGCCTATCATGTTTCGAATTCTTGACCTGCATATCTTCTTTTGTGAAAGCAATGCAAGGGAATTTTGTGGCTGCCAAGTTACAGTGCTGAATCGACGACTCTGGCTCTTTGGGAGTTGGTTTAATCTGAGTAAGAAATACATCAGAATCGGCAAAGGCTTCTTGTAAAGCTTCTCTAGTATCTTTCGAAAGGCGTAGTAACTCGTACAGCACGATCCTTGCTAGGATATTAGCTAACTGAGCCATAATTTTGAAACGATATGGAGCATTCGAGCTTTCCGGTTTATCTCGTCTAATCGGTCGATTAAAACGAGACTGTCTCAGAACTTGAACTTCTTTATGTTGGGTTTCTTTTTCCTTTTTCTTAGCTAGTTGCTGAGGGTTTCCATAAGCTACAGGAGGAGTTGCAACTACCCCCAGCTCAGCAAGGGTTTTAGAAGGCACGACTTTTACCACCCCTTGTTCAGCTAGTTGTTCAGATGCGCTTGGGTAATTGAAATGGTATTCATTTCCCGCTTCTTGTTGCGAAAGATTCTTGCTCCTCTTTAGAAAGTGGTAGGGCTGGGATTTCTTCATCATTCTTCTCAGGAATTGCTGAAGCTCCGAAACAAGACTTCCCCTTTCCTTTGCCTTTCAGCTTAGACGTGGATGTCGTCCATTGTTCATCTTCCAATAGATAAGGATGAACCCAGAGGATTTCACCATTTGGAGTTGTATGTGGCACAAGTCCTTTTTGGCGCTGTCCGTGAGGATCATCGTTGATGGTTTGCATTTTAACTTTTGATACTGGTTCGGCTTGGAACCATGATAAAGGAACCGAACCAAAGCTAATAGATACCTCATTTGCACCTACTTTCTTCTCTTTTGGTTTTGGCGTCACGATATCAATGTCTATCAAAGTCTGTATTTTGTCTTTTAAGACGTAACATACCTTGGTAGGGTGGTGGACCCTTCTGTGGTATGCACAATACTTCGGGTCGTTGGTCTTCTTTGCTTCTTCTTGATTCGTGACTGGTGGAAGTTTGATTTTATTATTATCCAATAGATACTTGAAGATGACCGAAATTTCATCGTTTTTGAAAGAATACTCTTTCGGGAATCTGGGCTCCAAAGCTTTAGGCTTCCTTGGGGGCTGCTGACTTTGAAGTGGTGCCAACTAGAAGGATGACTGTTACGGTTGTTGTTGTTACGGCTGTTGTGATGTTTGATGAGCATCAACAGTAGTTGTGGATCCTCTCCCTCTACCTCGAGGGTTAAAATTTTGTTTTTGAGGATTAACTGGTGGCTGACCCCTCTCCAACATCTTTCTCTTAAGAAAACGTTCAGCTTGTTCGCCTCTCACCTTTAACTCTTTCCATGTTTTAGAGGCCACAACCCCCATGACTTCTAATACATCTAAGGACAAGTTATTATGACATGTCTGAAGAATGAACTCTTCCGTGAGTGGATCTCGACAGTTTACTGCTTTGTTCCGGAATCGCTTGACGAAAACGTCAACAGACTCCCCACCTTTCTGTTTCTCGTCTAGTAAAGTGCCGATGGAGACTTCCGTATCATCATCGAAGAAATTGGTTAGGAACAATCTTTCCATATCATCCCAGCTGGTTATACTCCCCGGCTTAAGGCGGCGATACCAATCGAAGGCGGGGCCACGAAGAGTCCCAACGAATGATCATACCATCAAAGCTTCATTCCCTGAGATTGCACTAAGATGAGATTTGAAATAGATCAAATGCTGTGTAGGTGAGCCCCTGCCATCAAAAGGAGTAAAGTTAATTAGACTAAATTTTAGGGGATAAGGAATCAAGTCCCATTCCCTTGGGTAGGGATATGGAATGCTCGTTTTCTTCACTTCCTGGGCTGTCATCAGAGCATTGACTTTGCTTTCAAGATCTTGCATCTTCTTGTCCTCTTCCTCACTCTTCTTTAAATAGATTTGAGGGGGTTGAGTAGATGACTTAGCCGGACCGCTTCCCGAATTGTCTTTATCAGAAAGAGGATCAGCGAAGATGGTTTCATCCTCGTCATGGTTATTAGCGACCTTGGTTATACGTACAGGTATGACATTATGCTGGCTAGATTCAGCCCTTTGACTCGACTACGGTTGGTGTTGTTGAGCATGCAAATCTTGTATTTGCTGCATCGTTAACTCCATCTCGGTTTTGATTTCAGCTCTAATTTCTTCGCATTGCTTAGCTAACGCCTCCTGCAGTATCTGAGCTAATTGGTCAGGTGTAATTGCCAATGATTCTCTGACTTGTCCAACACTGGATATTGTATCATCCGAGGTGACTGTAGAACAGGTATCTGAAAGTTCCTCGTCCGAAGATATCCCTTCATGTATTTTCTTGTAGTCCCGACGTCGGTTGGCCCTTCGTTGAAGCCGTAACATCCTTTGGGAAAAACCCTCCTCAACTCTCCCTCCTGGAGAGAAATCAGGATCCGGACTGATTATATGTTATTTTCCTCTGCTGGTCATATTAATAGTGACCTTCGGAAGTTCATCTTCTTACACAGCGGGTTTCTTTTTCTTGAAACGTCTCATCTTGGGTCTTGACGTTTCAGTGGAAAGTCTTTGAAATACAGAAACTCTTGGTGGTTCAATTTTGGAACAACCATATTATGTTAGTACTGCCTTAATGAGCCTTTCACACGCGCAATGAGACTCTGTTTCTCAAGCCACCCTCTTTCATGACTTATTAGTCTGATAGTACAGCTCATCATTATTATGATTTGAGCAACCTATCTTCTGCCTTTGAATTTTGTTGTCATGCACAGAACGGTTAGTCGTTGCCTCTGGGCGATCCAAAGTTGAATTCTTAAATTTACCCCCTTGCGGGTATGAAGTCTTCACAGGCCCTAAACGGGAATGAATTGGTATTTTCTCATTTTAGACTCATTTAGTTCTGACAGGAGGATATTTACGACCCCCAGCGTAAGAAACTATCAAGGGTTTATTCGTCAAATTCAAGTGTCCCTTGATTGGAGTTTCGCCTCGCTCATCAAGTAAAGGACCGAGACGATCCGTCATTGTGATTTTGAATTTCGATAAGTTAGGACGGACCCAGGGCTTCACTGGTGATGGAATAGGCACAGTTGTAGTAGACGGGCCAGGATCGGACGTCGATGGAATCGAAGAGATGATCTTGTGAATCTCTTCTTGGCTGCGACAAGGTGTGGTGACGCGGTTGAATGACGTGCCGCGACAATGGAGACTACTGCGGTTGGGATAAGTCCGCGGTCAAAGGTCTTGCCGCGACAGTATGGACTGCCGCGGTCAAAGGTCTTGCCACGGTAGTATGGACTGCCGCGGTTAAATGAGGAATTTTCCTGATTCAATTCCCAATCATTTTTTTGTTTTGGGAATCCAAACCTTGCAGTTCTTTGGTGATTTTTCAGACACCATTTCTTTCTTCCCTTCTTGCTTTTGTTGACGAAGTGATTTTTCAGACACCATTTCTTTCTTCCCTTCTTGCTTTTGTTGACGAAGGGCACGATTACGAGCGGTGTTTATACGACGCTTTTGTATACGTTCTTTGAGAGTTAAATGTGCTCTTTTGACGAGGGTCCATTCCTCCATCGTAAGTTGTGCAGAGATGTGATTAGTTTGCCGCAGAGGTAACTGGACCACTTTATGCTTCCTCGATTCTAGGTCCGCATAGTAGTGAATCCCGTCGGTTTGTTGTAAGGCATTGGCCAATTGACGAGCACGGCGCTGACGTTGTCTCTGACGAGCCCTCTTCGTCAGTACCGGCGAATTTTGGTTCAAAAACCCCTGAACTGGTGAAGGGTCATTTGGAGCAGATATGTTGCAAGTAGAGTCCTTAGCAACAACTGGACAAGAGTCTTCACATGTAGCTTTCACCGAAGTTGAAGACTGGATAACCTTTCTGGACGATGAAATCTTCCTGCTCTTACGAGGCGAGGAAGATTTTGAGGATGAGGATGACAGATACTCCTCGAATTTTGCTTGATCAAATTCATATTCGATCTCTTCATTGATCACAATCTTGATTGGCTGCGACACTACGGCCTCGGCAGCGAGACCGTTAGCTCCCACTGTGGTCGTTAGTTTGTTTTCGTCGAAAGTTGGTGCTATTGTGGAATTCATTATATCTTCGATCGATTATAACAAATTTCAAAGAAAATAATCTTTTTATAAGACCTCTTTTACACAATGAAAGGAAATTACAACTTTCTAGAAAATAACACAAAAATCGTTTATCGATTCATGTTTTGTGGGACTTTACCTGTGCCGGGTGTGCTTTGGCTCGTGGAACACCAAATCACAGATTGTGAAGGGTTTAGAGGTTCCTTCTTCGTTTATCAAAGTAGGAATTTGAAGTGAATATCTTATTGATCTAAGATGTTCACTCTTCTAAAGATCAAGTCAGAGCTTAGATCTCTAGGAATCACTGAGAGCTATCTATGAAAGATGAAGACTCTCTCTCTCTCTTGCTCAAAATCACCAAAAGCTCAAGTCTCTATGCTCCAATCTGCTCTCTGTCCTTTGCTTCGTGTCTAGGGAGGTATTTACAGGGATAGAGGTGCACAACAGTGGAAATGGAGGCAAAATAACTGATCGAGTGTAGGCTCTTTGGGCGCGTCAGTCTATGCTGCCACGGCTATTGGCGCGTCAGTGTGGACTGGCGCAGCCAAAGAGACAGTTCTAGCCACATTCCATCATGTTTGAAACCATCCTCCCATGACTTTTAACCACTTTTTTCGTGGTTTAACTGCTTGTCCACGTCAGCACATGTTCTCTTTCTGATATGCTGCCACGTGGACCTCCAAGAGATGTTAAAAATTGTCAACAATTTATATAAGAGGCTACTTTATCATTTGTGCGTCACACTTTGCTGCCGCGCCTTTGGCGCGTCACCATAGACTGTCGCGCTTTATACGCGTCACCATGGGCTGTTGCGCCTTACGCGCGTCACCATGGTCTGCCGCGCCTATACATGTCACCTGTCAGTGTATTTTGTCACACACATGCACATTGTTCTTTTCTCAGTCTTGAGTTGTATTTGGATATCTATGAGCATTTTTTGATGCCTACAAGGTTCGACCACCTCCTCTCCCTCCCCACAAGCCAAGTAGGGGATGCTTCATCGAGGATGATGATCTAGGTCGGCTTGAGGGGAGGAACACTTGGAACTAGGGGATGTTGGCCGACTTCCTGGACTGGGACGGGAGCACTTGCCTCTGCTATTCCCCTGAGCCAGGCCGAGTTAGCTTGGCGTTCCCATGAGGAGCTTGGCTGCTCACCTTCAGTAGCTTTCCCTTCCTCTTTTCTAACCTCTCGGCTTGAGCAGTTGCACTCGGCCCCGCTAGCTAAGCTACGATTTTAGAAGCATTCGCGGCCACCTCCTCGGTCTCCGCGGGGACCAACTCTATCCTCAAACACTTCTGGGGCCTAATTGATAACCCCGACTATGCCTCACCCGACTCTTTTAGCGGAAGAACCAAGATTGCTACTCGAATGGAGTCTTCCTCGGATGTCAGGGTTCTGGATATGCCAACTACTCAAAGAACACCCAGCTCGAAGAGATTACTAATTTCCTGAGACCCAGCATAAACTCGAACCTTGTCGAGTCCCTGCCTCTCCTCAATCATGAATAGACCTGGCTTTAGCACATCCTTCTTGATCTTAGGTCAGGTCAGACAAGATAGGATGGGGTCGGCCCCAAAGACCCACATGAGTCTATCCTTCCAGTCCTTATTCAAGTCAGGACGTTCAAGACAATTTTGAAGCCACCCAAGTTCTGAAAGTAGTAGTGCCTCTCCTTCTTTGCCGTCCTGACGCTGACAATGTGGCTGAGTATGCACAAACTCGAGTCAACACCATCTCAATGATAGATTACCATGAAACCCACCAATGTAGTGATGGAGTTCGGCTTGATCTGCAAAGGGGACAACCCCAAAGTCTGACAGACATGATGGAGGAAAGGATGAAGTGGCAGTCAGAGTCCGTACTCTAAGTGTTTTAGGTAAATCGGAACCATATTGTTGTCGTGGTGATATACAGCTTTAGACCTCTCCGGTGTTGACAAAGTGAAGGATCAGGGAAGATCGAAGTGGTCATAATAGGACTCGAGCTCTGTTGCGCAGATCTTTGAGCGGAATAGCCTGAGAATAGTGATCCTCATCTCATTACAGCTGACGGTGAAAGAGGTGGAAGCCATCGCAGATCGTCGGAATCTTGATCGAAAAATAGTTGATACAGAAAACTAGGGTTTCAGAAGTCTCGAAGCAGAAAAACTGTAAATAAAGCCTCTTCACGGAGACGATATATATAGGCTCATATACAGACACATGTCAAGATCAGAATAGCCAAATCGGTCAGGGAGAGATGGCTGAGATCGACCTCAAAATTTGAACGGACCGTACGAGAAACGAAGCATTGTCCTTCGATCGATGTGCCAACTAGCTTAAGAATCGAAGCGATGACGGTGCCACCATATCAGCTGACGTCAAAAGATCACTTCAACAGCAACCCGTCACTTTCCTCATAAATACACTGCAAGAGTCGCCAACCAACGACTATTTCAACTTCCACTCGAACTCGACCCGTCGAGTTCGAGTGAAAGAGGGCCACTGTTATAGCCTACAAATAACTAAGTACTAATTCTTATCGGAGGCCGACATGTGTCCCTCTCCATGCCTAATCAGACGTATCCAAAGACGGACGACTCGAGCTATTCCTATGGTCGACCCAATAGACTGACAACCTGCATAGCCGACTAAAAAGGTGGTGTTTGTCGGCCTATGCACCAGATCAATGCTAGAGGCACCCGTGCTCGGCCTACCATTCCAACCGACAACTTGCGCAGCTGACTAAAAAGGTAGTGTTTGTCAGGTTTTAGCCATATGACTGAAGAGATGATCTGTCCTTGAACCCCCACCGACAACCATCTATCCTTGTCTTAAATGCACTGTTAGAGTCATCATTGCTCTAACCCCCATAGTCTTTATTACTCATCGGACATAGTCGGCACTAAGTACTTACTGTCATCCTACATTAAATGCCTGGATGACTCACCTTCTTTAGCTGTCAATACCTATAAGGTATCTGCCGATTCAGCTGCCTGTCTAGACCCGACCAAAGTTACATGTCTGCCTTTCCGATCTACTATAAAAGGAAGCTGTGTTGCCTAAGGTAACTTCTTCAGTTTCCCTCTAATTCTGAGCAACTTTTCATCACACACCTCTCATTTTCCCACTCAAGTTCGAACCCTAACTTGATCATCGGAGGAACAACCGGAGAACCCTACTCTGGTCTCTCACGAGCTTTTCATGTGCAGGAGAGAATGTCAGGCTCCAGAACCGGTCATCTGAGGAAGTTTGACGACCCTAACACTACTATAATCCACATATAAACCACCATGTTCGAAAACTGACATCAACAATATGATTTCCCTCTTAAAATTCATTTTGTTTAGAAAAGGTTTTATTACAGTTTAGTACTCTAAAGTTTACACCTTTTTTACTTTAATACCCTAAAGCTTACATTTTTTTTCTAAATTTGATACATTAAGAAGTTTTTTTCCCTGACATTTCCGAAGTTTAACCTTCTTAACTTTGATACCCCAAAGTTTTATTTTTGACACTTTGATACTTCGAACTATATAGTATCAATATTTAAAATGTGTAAATTTTGAGGTATCAAAGTTAAAAAGAGTGAAAACTTTAGGGTATGAAAGTTAACATATATGTTAACCTTATGGTGTCAAAGTGTGAAAAGAAGATTAGGATATCAAAGTGAACATTAATACCCTAAATTTTACACCTTTTTCTAAATTTGATACCTTAAGAAGTTTTTTCTTGACACTTATGAAATTTAACCTTCTTAACTTCAAAGAAGTTTTATTTTTGACACTTTGATACACAAAACTTTATAGTATCAATATTTAAAAATGTGTAAACTTTGAGGTATCAAAGTAAAAAAATACGAAAACTTTAGGGTATGAAAGTTAACATATATGTAAACTTTGTAGTATCAAAGTGTGAAAAAAGTTTGGGATGTCAAAGTTAAAAGGGTGTAAACTTTGAGGTATCAAAGTGCAAAAAAATTACGTATCAAAGTTTAAGGTGTGACGCCAAATTGCAAATAACTCTTTAAAAATATGAGGTGATGGTATTTTGGACATTTAGGGACCAAATTGCAATAATCCTAGGATTTGACGGACTACTGAGCATTGTCATAGATTTAAGGGACTAATATTGTATTATTAAAGATTTAAGGGACTAATATTTACATAACCCATTTCCAAAGAAATTTTTGCTCTGGGGTTTATCTTCTCCTCTTCTTCTCTCTTTTCGGGGGTCTTTTGGAAAATTTAAAAGCTATAAGTGAGAAAAGAAAAGTTCATGGAAGTTTTGTGGAAACAACCAATTTTCGCCATTTCCCCTACTTCCTTCTTAATCCCTCCAAATATCCCAACAATTCCAACTTCAACTGCACCAACCATTTTTTTTTCCCGCGCTTTTCCCCACTCCGATGGACGGCGACGACCACAACGGCGCCGCCGCCTTCGACAAGGACG